TGGACAAGCCTAAGAGCGAGGATAAGCTCAAGACGGGAAGGCCTAGGACGGATAAGCCTAAGAACGAGGATAAGCTCAAGACGGGAAGGCCTAGGACGGATAAGCCTAAGAACGAGGATAAGCTTTAGACGGACAAGCCTAACACGGATGAGCCTAAGGGCGATGATAAGCTCAAGTCGGAATAAGCCTAAGACGGATAAGCCTAAAGGCGATGATAAGCTTAAGACGGACAAGCCTAAGACGGATAAGCCTAAGAACGATGATAAGCTTAAGAGGACAAGCCTAAGATGGAAAGCCTAAGGGCGATGATAAGCTCAAGACGGACAAGCCTAAACGGATAAGCCTAAAGGCGATGATAAGCTCAAGACGGACAAGCCTAAGACGGATAAGCCTAAGAACGATGATAAGCTTAAGAGGACAAGCCTAAGACGGATAAGCCTAAGGGCGATGATAAGCTCAAGACGGACAAGCCTAAGACGGATAAGCCTAAGGGCGATGATAAGCCTAAGACGGATCAGCCTAAGAGCGATGATGAGCCTCAAGCAGACAAGCCTAAGACGGATAAGCCTATGGGCGATGATAAGCTCAAGAGGACAGGCCTAAGACGGATAAGCCTAATGGCTATGATAAGCCTAAGACGGGCAAGCCTAAAGGCGATGATAAAACCTATCTCATGGTCAGAAGGAAATACGACTCTCCTTTCCCAGCAACGAGCAGATCCACTCCCCCCCCCCTTTAAAAAACTAAAAAAGGCGTTTAGCCACTCTCGATCGCGATGTGTGATAAGCCACGCATTCAGCTTCCATTCCAAGGTGCAGGTTCAATGCTGACTTGTGGTGTCACTCGAAGGGCATTACTGTACTGCTAATGGGCTTCACTGAGGCGGAGGCGATATAGTGGCAAGCGGCACGCTTTAATCCTGAATTCTCCTACCCAGACCAACCAAGCCTTCTACCTTTAGGGCGCTTCTCTTCGCAGTCAGTTCTGCCTGGTCAAAGATCAATGTAAAAAAAAAGTACGGCGATTGCACAGGGAGTATGAAAACGCATTATTTCAAGCGCGTACAATCTTCACAACACTACCAGCACTGATCTTTAGCAGAAGCAGAGACGTAGTAGTGACACTTACACGAAGCGGCTGTGGAACATTTGCGGAACTCCGATGAAAAAAGCCAAAAATTTATAAGCTTCAAAACGGGCACTGCTTACCAGAAACCTCGCACCTTGCCGAAGAAAGATAATGTCCCTGGCAGTAAGATCAAGACGATTTAGAAGAAGGACTTTTGAAGAAGGGGAAAAAAATAACAGCTGATCCAATCGTGATCAATTGCAGATGGGTGCGCCACGTGTAGGCGTGTCGTTGTTGGAGTGAGTACGGCTTGGTATGTTAAGCCTTGCTAGCATGCTCAGATGCCGCTTTTCTTTAGAAAAAACATCATGGACGGCTTTTTCTGGGGCACGGAATTCTTTGGTGATCGGTGTTCAACTTACATGCCTAAGAAATCATCGTGCCCTTTGCCCTTAAGTTCCGAATGTGATCCCAGAGCAATCCTTTACTTACAAGTAGAAAAAAAAGAAAGTAGTGAAAGATGATGTTGTGATTGGACAACACTATCGATGACGCCCGAAATGAGACCCCTAGGTTGGGCAAGTAGAGATACTTGCGCGGGCGAGAAAACAGAGGCGAAGGATAGCAGAGCAGGAAGGCACCGACGAGGGTCGGTCCTACACGGAATGAGCCCACTGCCTCACACCTGTATTAGGAGATATAGTATCTCTCGCATATTTCGTTCTCCGATGGGTAGGACAATGTTACAAGTGACATTCCCTCGGCTTATTGCGGCCGCATTCTCGACATTCACTGTGGCGTTGCTAAAGTGGAACAAGTCGGCGACCACTTACTGATGTCATCAAAGCTGCTGACAGGTTTCTTGGTAAAACAGCTTTAGAGGGACGGAAGGGGTGTTAGTAGGAGGAGCTATGTCAAGATAATGCTGTGAATGGGGTGTGGTCGCCTACTCCGGAAAACAGCCCTTAATTCCATTGTTTTAACCACACGCAGTTTCGGCGCACCCGAACTCTAGCATCGCATTTCTCGTCAGATTTAGAAAAATGTAAGGAATTTTTATTCTTAAAGGATCAGAATTCAAATAAATACGCATATCTCAACTATCAACAAGTGATATGACATAGAATATCTCAAGTGAAATCCATGAATTATTTACAAACAGCAGTAAATAAATCCGATCGAATGCGGTGAGGCAGCGAAGAATATGAAATGCGTGCACCTTTAGTGGCACGAAAGAGAAATAATAAAACTATACATCGAGGGATAACTAAACGGAGCACGACGAGACCGGTTTACTGTAAGCAGCGATGTATGGGAGCACCAGTGCTGTATGGGAACACTCGACCAAAATTGACATAGAAGTTTCTGTGAGCAAAAATGCAAAGATGGGCCCGTGATTAAATAGGACCACCGTGAAAAGGGCTTTTGCTAAGTGTCAGTACGGCAGTGGGTCCTATAATTACACCTACTTCTATAAAATTGAACCAGTCGAAGAATATATGTCAATGATGCAGTTGTAAAAGCTGTATTTATTACAATATCATCTTATCAAATTGACTAGACCTTCGTCTCAGGACCTATACTTTCAGAACTTGATTGGAATGAGTCGCGTAATCGAATCATCTGCCGTGCGATTATGGTGCCATACACCTTGTTGTACCATGAAGGACCACGACCCCTGGAAATAAAAAGTTATAGCAATAATTTTTGCAGTTCGTTGTCTACACACACGCGTAAAGCATTGCGCGTGAGCACTGCGTATGCTTGTGATTCTCTATGCTGTGTGAGCGCGTATGGATAAATCATGTTCCAGAGTTCCGTATACCGCCTCTCACCTATATAAAAACGGGACAGAAAAGGGCATCGATAAGCGAGCTTCGCGATGGCTGCAAGTGTCCAAACGAGAGACAGGGATACACACTCCGAATCCCCGAAATGCATCTAATCATCTGAAGAAAGTGGCTGCATTTTTGCTGAGATATTCCTGTTTTGGGACTAATGTCCTCGTATATTAGATTCCCATTCAAAAACATGAAGACATATATGTATATGAATGGCAGTAGAGCAAAGGGATGAGGGCTGTGGGCTACTACATCATTGAAAGCTGGTGCCTTTAGCTTCATATCCGTGGAATTTGGCTAAGATAGCCACAAAAATAAATCTTAAGAAATTGAAAAAAACCTAGTGGTCAAAATCAGCGCTGCAATATGGGATCCGCCGTCATACAAGGAATGTGCACTGCACAAATCTATCCTGTGCCTGTTCATTTATCCTGTCTAGCTGCGGATAACGGTATGTCGAAGATTTGGTTCAAATTTCCAAAGAAGGAAGAGCGCAAAAAGTTGTGGCTGAGAAGGGCCACTTGATGGTCATCCAGCCCAAGGAGGGCGGGTGGATAAAGTCAACCGCTAAATGTGTGATCACAGAGCTGGACCGTTCTTGAGCTTCCTCGCGAGACTGAAATCCCTCCTGTAGCCGTAGCCAGAGTTAAAAAAAGGATAAAGGATAAAGTCTTCGCCGTTGATCAATCCCTTTGTGGCACGCATTCTACTTCCATTCAGAATCGTAGTGGCTTATTGAATGCGATGTGGCCTATACAATGACTTGCGGGGGCCAGCCGATGTACAAGTCAGTGTTTTATCCTCCCAGACGAATCTGGTACCAATTTACCGTCCCCGGAGGGTAGAAGGCTTGGTTGGCCTGGGCGGGTGTCGACCTGGGATTCGAACCCAGGACCGCGCGAGTGGTAAGCGCGCCACTTGTCACTACACCACCTCCGCCTTAAGCTTAGCCAGAGTTATGTTCGACAAATTGAGGTAGTCCATAGATTGCGTGGTAAGGCGCCTCATTATTTAGTAGAAGCACGAACGCTGTACCAAGTCCATGCCTGTAACAGTAATGTTAAGATGCCATATGTCAATTTTGTATGAATGCAGATGAGAAGCTGCCCGAACCAAAGTCGATGATTATCATAGCAAAGGAATTCCGCGCTGTGGCTTTCAAGCGACTCTATGCAACGAACAAAATCGTCGCTGTCGGTGAATATTGCCTGTTGCTCGACAATCGGATCGTACCACACAAGTACAAGTGGGCCACCGTTGCTCGTCATAGTACCAGACCCTGAGTAACTGTATTGTAGGGCAGTGCTGGGACACAAACAATACTGAGACCTGGGTTCAATCGCCCTCATTCGCCCAACATAAAGCCGTTCGATTCCAACTGTTCTGGTCAGTCGAGGGTACTCTCCGACGGCAAACGCTACAACGTTTTGTCATTAGCCGGAATTATTATAGTATAAAAAGCGAGTTACTCGCAGTTTTTGAAAAAACCAAGGTATCAGTAGTCCAAACGCTTTCGGGGCACTGGAAGTGGGTCAGTGGCGAAGGAGGGATCTATTTAACTCATTGCTAGAATATTACTTTTTCATCTGTTTTCCTCTTCGTTTTATATGAGGAAAAAGATCCACATCTTTTAACGGGATGACCTATTATTTGTCCAACAAGACAAACAGATGTCTCAGATTTAAATACGAATCACTCATTTTACGCCTTGTTAAAATGAAATATGCAGCCACACCTGCCGCGTATCGGGGTTGCGGAGTTTATGCACAAGAGAGGATAATGGGCACGAGAATATACAACCGTCGCCGAATGTACCTGGAACACCCCTTTTCGCCCTCTGATATGCAAGTTATCTGCGCAATGGATTATTCTACAGTCGGGTTATCGTGGAACCTGTGTTCATGTGCGCATTCTACGAGAAAATAATGCCTAGTTAGATTGCCCTTATTGAAAAAAGGAGCTGCCATAAACATTTAGAAGAGAACCCCAGTTGAAGAGCTGGGTGCATAACTTACGAGAACAATGTAAAGGAGATGAACCCTTGGGTGGTTTCTCAATTACGCGACTATATGTTTGTAGGGTTTGTTTTTAGGGCCAACGGAGATTTCAAGTCGCCCAGGACTAGGATGACGATCTGTACTTTCAACGCACGGACGCTTGCATCGGAAGCTCACATCGAAGATCTGATGTTGCAAGCCAGGAAGATCAAGTACGACGTCATCGGACTGACCGAGACGAGGAGGCATCGCCCGCTACACGCCGTATACGAGACTGGAGAAGAACTGTTCCTCGGAACATGCGACAGCAGAGGCGTTGGCGGTGTGGGCGTCCTCGTCAACACGCACTTGGCCATGAACATCGATTCGTACGAAAGTCTGACGA